TCTTGCCATTTTTATTCAGCATTGTACTGCAGTTGTACTGCATTGTGCTGCAGGGTCTAGCCAGAACAGTCAGGCAAGAAAAAGTAATAAAAGGCATCCAGATTGGAAAGGAAAAAGGAAAACTATTATTTTCAGATGACATGAATTTATAAAAACAGAAAACCCTACAGAATCCACCAAAAATCATGAGAGCTAATAAATGAGTGCAACAAATAAGATCAACATACAAAAACCAGCTGTATTTCTATGCACTGGCAATGAATAATCCAAAAGTGAAATTAAGAAAACTATTCCATTTACACCAGCATCAAAAAGAGCAGGTAGGAATTAATTTAACAAAAGCTCAGACTTGTACACTGAAAAGTACAAAATACCATTGAAGGATATTAAAGAAGACCTATATAAGTGGAAAAACCTACCATGTTTGTGGTTTGGAAGACCTACTATTGATAAAATGGCAATATTCCCCCAAATATTTACAGAATCGACACAATCCCGATCAAAATCACAGCTGCCTTTTTTTTTTTTTTTTTTTTTTTTTTTTTTTTTTTTTTTGGTGAAAATTGACAAGCAGATCCTAAAATGCACATGAAAATGCAAGAGACCCAGAATAGCTGAAAACAATCTTGCAAAAGGACAGAGTTGGAGGAGTCACATCTCCCAATTTTAGAACTTAACACAAAGCCTCAGTTTGAAGACAGTGTGATCCTACCAGTTGGAGAGATGTGCAGATCACTGGAATAGAATTGAGAGTTCAGAAACAAACCTATATGGGGCACCTAGGTGGCTCAGTTGGTTAAGCATCCAACTTTTTGTTTTAGCTTAGCTCATGATTTCACGGTTTATGGGTTCAAGCCCCACATCGGGGCTCTGAGCTGGACAGCATGGAGCCTGCTTGGGATTCTCTCTCTCCCTCCCTCTCTCCCCTCCCCAACTTACACACGCATGCACATACTCTTTCCTTCTCTCAAACTTAAAAAAAAAAAAAAAAAGTTATTTATTTATTTATTTGAGAGAGACAGAGAAAGAGCAGGGGAGGGGCAGAGAGAGAGGGAGACACAGAATCCAAAGCAGGCTTCAGGCTCCGAGCTGTCAGCAGAGAGCCTGACACGAGGCTCGAACTCATGAACCATGAGATCATGACCTGAGCCGAAGTCGGACGCTTAACCGACTGAGCCACCCAGGCACCCCCAAAAAAGTTATTTTAAGAAAAAAAGACAGGGGCGCCTGGGTGGCGCAGTCGGTTAAGCGTCCGACTTCAGCCAGGTCACGATCTCGCGGTCCGTGAGTTCGAGCCCCGCGTCAGGCTCTGGGCTGATGGCTCAGAGCCTGGAGCCTGTTTCCGATTCTGTGTCTCCCTCTCTCTCTGCCCCTCCCCCGTTCATGCTCTGTCTCTCTCTGTCCCAAAAATAAATAAACGTTGGGGAAAAAAAAAAATTAAAAAAAAAAAAAAAGACAAATGTATACAATTATGGTCAATTGATTTTCAACAAGTGCATCAAGACAATTCAATAAGAAAAGAACAGTTGATTCAACAAATGGTGCTGGGATAACCAAATTGTATAAAACAATGAAGTTAGGGCTCTGCTTCACACCATATATAAAAATTAAAAATGGACCAAAGACCCAGATGTAACAACTAAAATTACAAAACTCTTAGAAATAAACATAGATAGAAATTTCCGTGGCTTTGGGTTAAACGATGGTTTCTTAGATATGACACCTAAAGCACAAGCAACCGAAAGAAAAAGATAAATTGAACTTCATCAAAATTTAAAAACCCTTATTATCAAGAAAGTAAAAAGATAACCCACAGGGAGAAAATACTTGGAGATCTTCTATCTGATAAGAGTAGGTAGTATCCACAACATAGAAATAACTGTTACAATTCAATAAAAAGCCTACAAAATAAAAAGAACTGCAAATATTTTATATCAGCCTTTTTATCCTAACAAGGTCTTTTGTAGAACAAAAGTTTTTTAATTTGATAAAGTCCATTTTATTTATTTTTTTCCTTCAATTGCTTATGCTTTAGGGGTGATATCATGCTTTTGGTGATAGCCAGCTATGGATGTCCAATTGCTCCGACACCATTTGTTGAAAAGGTTGTCCTGCCATTGAAATGCTTTTTTGCACCTTTGTCAAAATCAGTTGGCTATCTGATAAGGAATTGTATCTAGAATATATAAAGAACTCTTACAACCCGTAAAAAGAAAAATAACCCAACTAAAAACGTGGACAAAGAATTTTGAACAGACATTTCTCCAAAGAAGATATACAACAGGCCGATAAGCACATCATTAGTCATTAGGAAAGTGCAAATCAAAACCAAAATGAGATTACCGCTTCATACCATCTAGGATGGTTATAATCAAAAAGACAATAAAAATTACCTGATGATATGGAGAAATTGGAACCCTCATACACTGCTGGTGGGAATGTGAAATGATGTAGCCATCCTGGGAAACAAACAATTTAGTAATTCCTCAAAAAGTTAAATACAGAATTACCATATGACCTAGCAATTACTCCTAGATATATACCCAGAGAATTGAAAATTCGTGTTACTTGTTTAGAGTAGAGCAACATTATTCATAATAGCTAAAAGGTAGAAACAATCCAAGTAACCATCAACTAATTGAATGGATAAACAAATATAGTATATCCATACTACTATTTAGCCATAAAAGTAAATATTGATTCATGATACAACATGAATAAACCTTGAAGGCATTTTGCTAAATGAAAGAAGGCAGACAAAAAAGACCACTTATTGTATGATACCATTTCATGATTCCATTCCATTCTGGAAATGACCGGAATAGACAAATCCATCAAGACAGAAAGTTGTAAGTGATTGCCAGGGACTGCGAGAAGGGGGAATGGGGAGTGACTGTTTATGGGTGTGGGCTTTGGGAGCATGGAATGAAATGTTCTGGAATTAGTGGTGATGGTTGCACAACTCTGTGAGTATACTAAAAAATGCTGAATTGTATACTTTAAAGGGATGAAGATTATGTGAAATATACCTCCATTTTTAAAAAGGTATGGGAAGTTACAATGGAGAAGCAGTTTGTTGTTGAAATACTGTAGAGTGCAAAATAGGACCTGTAAAGTTGTAAAATTCGTTTGGCCCTTCATGGAACTTCTGAAAAGTCAGATCGGAGGCTTTTCTCTTCATGACTGCCCTTGCTTTTGGTCACCTTTGGCACTTAACATGTCAGAATTTAACCTTTTTTTCCTTACAGGTGACTATGGTTTTAGAATTTGTTTAACAACATAATAGCACATTATAACCATTAATTGTAACTCCATTTTAAAAAGGCTACACATCTAATTTTGGATCCTAGAAAAATAAGCAAATTAAAATTGAGTGGCTTGTCCAACTTCTTGCCCTTTGGTAGGATCAGTGCTGAATCTCCACAGGGCAGAGCCAGCAGTCCTGACCCTGTTTCCCTCCCTGTGCTGGGAGGAAAGCTGGGCCTTCCCAGAATGCCTACCAGATGGGAACATCATTTCTCCTTTTAAGCAGAAGCCCAAAAAATCACCCCCAAGGCTGGAACTGCTAGTTTCTCACCTTTACCCACACAGCTCGTTCTCAGCCTTCCTGTAGACGTCAAAAATGGGCTTAAAAATAGTGTTCCCGTCATGAAATTTAAACATAAATAAAAACAACTGGTATTGGTAGACTGCCTTACTGCCTCCTCAGCCCTGTCCCCAGTCTGAACTGATGACAGTGGGGGCAGGTAGTGTCCCCACTCTACAGATGAAGGAACAGAGATTGAGAGGCCACATGATGACAGAGGTTCCACAGCTAGTGGGTGTCTGAGCCAAGGCCAGCAGTCTGTCCTTCCTCCTCCCCTGCTCTCCTGCTGTCTCTATGGTAAGGCTGAATCTTGATAAGACAGTTACCATCCTCCTCCTGTGAAGATCCTATCTGCTGTGTACAAGGCTCCTGAGAGCTCCCCAGAGAAGGGTGTTGGAAAACTGAGATTCACAGCACTGGCCACAGGGCACCAAGAGCCACGTGGCCTATCACATAACGTAAGAAGACACTGGGCTACACATTATAGGTTAAGAAACAGGCAACAGGGAGGCCGTGTCAGCTGGATGGACAAGAAATGGTGACGGTTGAATCAGGATCCCTGGAGATGGACAGGGAAACAAGCAGGGAGGAGTTCAACCTTTGGGCAGGAGACAAGTAGGACAGCAGCACATCAGTGCAACAGACCTGGGTCCTCAGCCAGGTCCGGCCACTCACCAGGGTGGCTCCAAGCCTCTGTTTTCTTGCCTGTGAAGTGGGTATATGCAATACTTGATGTCTCTGGACGCTGCTGTGTGCCCAAGGAGTAGTGGTTGGAAGTGAAGTCCTCTTTCCAGGCAGTGGAGCCTAGCCACCTGTCAGAGAGTGAGCCTGGCCCCGTCTGTGTATTTTCGTAAGTTTCACTATTAGAGACTCTTGAATAACTTTATATATGACAAAGACGTTGACAAGGCAGCCCGTAAGTGAGGGACCCCAGGGACTGTGAGAAGCACGTCACCACAGGCTGTGCCATGTAGTTTATAGTGTCTACATTGTGAAAACCAAAGGAGGGCTCCAGGGCCTGGCCCAGGGCATGAGCACTCCCCTCAGGGGCCGTGCTGCTGAGCGGGCAGAGCATTCCCTGGCGAAGCCAGCCCCTCACCCACCCAGGACAACCGCTTTATGTTTAGCCTGTCTACTGAGAATAAGCCAAGTCAGACTCTTCTGACTACTGAAGTAAAGGAAGCTGCTTCTTGCTTTCTGTCTTCTCCTGTCTGCCCTCCATCTTGAAGATGTGTGACAGGAAGAGCAGGAGACTCTTCAGAAGACCTCGCCCATTCAAGCCTGCTTCTTTCACTTAAGGAGTTGTGGGACCTTGTAAGTCCCTTCAAATGGCTGGCTTCGGGGGGCCTGCACTTTACTTTGGGGCCTGGGAGAGTATTTAGCACTCTGCTTCATGTGTGCAATTGTCTTTCAGCTCTGTGCAGTGTGTCTAGAAGACTTCAAGCCTCGAGATGAGTTGGGCATTTGTCCATGTAAGCATGCCTTTCACAGAAAGTGAGTATTGGTATGGAATTATTGTTTTTAATGTTTGGTTTTTGAGAGAGAGCAAGGGGGGAGGGGCAGAGGGAGAGAGAGGGAGACACAGAATCCGAAGCAGGCTCCAGGCTCTGAGCTGTCAGCACAGAGCCCGACATGGGGCTCGAACTCACCCAGTGGCGAGATCATGAGCCAAAGTTGGACGCTTAACTGACTGAGCCACGCAGGTGCCCCTGGTGTGGAATTATTTAAAGGGACCTGAATTTGAGGCACATTGAGCCACTTACTTGTGGGTTTAGAGCAGTGCCAGACAAGCCGGACAGCTTCATCATTAGTCTGCAATGCAGCAAGCTCAAGGCACCCTATGGAGTGAGGTGCGTGCGTGCACGTGTGTGTGTGTACATATGTGACATCAGGAGGGACCGGGGTGGCGGAACATGACTGCCAGGCAGGACTTTGGGCAGAGGGCCAAATAAGCCCACACCTCCTTAGAGCTGAGGCTACAAACAGCTGCTTTAAATGGAATTTTCCAACGAGAGCTTCTATTCCTAAAAACTTAAAACCAGTTATTTTAAATCAAAATAAATAAAGTATGAATGTAAGTGGGAGTGTGAAGCCATCTCCTATGCCAACATACTAATATTCCCTCTTCTCTCACAATTTTTTGTTTTCATCTCTATTAAAAACTTTTATTTCTCCTACTTCCCACCACCCTCCTCAGTGTACTTCATCCTTTAAGTCATGGATGATTCGAGGGTATAGCATGCTGTGGCTGATTCGTATCACCTTTTAGAAGATTAGAGGCTTTGATTTCTCCAGAGGGTAAAAGGCATTCTCCATCTGCTGGTGGAGCTGCTTGGGATCTGAGTGTTCACACCAGCCCCTGGCTAGAGGGGCAGATGTGTTTAACCCATGAGGCATCTGGCAGGGGGCGCCATAAGCCTGGGACTGACATCTTCCTCCTGTGTTGTCTCATCCTGCAGGTGCCTTATTAAGTGGCTCGAGGTTCGTAAAGTATGTCCACTGTGCAACATGCCAGTTCTGCAGCTGGCCCAGCTGCACAGTAAGCAGGACCGTGGACCCCCGCAGGGGCCCCTGCCCGGGGCAGAGAACATCGTATAGCTCCCCCAAGGACCAAACTGCTGTGGGATCTGACATCCATATGGAGCCAGGAGGAACACACGCGGTCTCTGCGTTGGCTGCTCTACCTGGGGCACCAGCTGCCACTTCCTTTGCCTCATGAAGAACTCGGGCCAGCTACGCTGGGAAGCCAGACTGCTGGGTCTTGTGACAACCAAAGCACGCTGACACTACCCCATGCCAAGAGAAGAGGAGTGGATGATGGATAAGCCTTCCGGTTACATTCAAGAAATTTCATGAGGGTCTCTTACTGACGCCATTACTCTGTCTCCCAGATACTTTTCTCCATGTCAAGGTGAATCTTTATCAAGCAGAAGGGAAGATAGGATTGTTAGAGAAGGGAACTGAGGGCAGGTGTTTAAAGCCCCCCCCCCCGCCCCCCCCTCCCCCACCCTGTGGACAGATGAGCTTCTATGCAGACCGTGCATGCTTTTGTAGCAGCAGACCCTCCTGGCAGTCCCTGAGCCAAGTAAAACCAGCGGTTACCTCAGTTGAAGCCCGACTGGTTGCGATTGGTGAGGCAGTGCCAACAAGGCTTTTCACATTATGTTCCTTTGATAAGGTCATCTTGGAACCCAGGGGCTTTGGTTACCACAGAGCAGCAGTGCCCCCTTGCCACTCCTTCTCCCTCAAGTTCATGACACTTGCTTATCAAATCATCTAAACACATTAGATGCGCTTGGAAAGGCTGGTCAGAAGTCATTTCCTCTTATTCTTGCCCGCCCCCCCAAGCTCCCCAGTGAAGCCCAGCCAGGCCGCCCATCTGGAGCCCCAGCAGGGGATGTGCTGTCCGTGTGTGACCCAGGGAGACTCAGGGTGCTGCCCACCCCCATACAGTGGGGTTCCAGTGCAGCTGCTGGTCTTAGCCCACTGCCTCAGTAAGGAGCTGCTGTGAGCCTCTCAGATGGCTCCCAAGGGGAGCTTCTTCCTGAGAATGGCCAGTCTTCCCGGCCCTGCTGAGACGAGAGGATGCTGACTCCCTTGCCTCTCTCCACTCCTTCTGTTTCCTTCCCTCTCCTGCCCTGTTTCTACTTGAGAAAATGCCTGTCATTGGCTTTTTAACAATTTGAAGCATCCCAAATGAGATCTTTCTGTAATTCTGAAGCGAGGGATCCACTTGAAATTGTAAATAGTTTCAGGAAGCTCCCGTAGGGCTGTTCACCCATTGGTGTGTGCCTCAGTATTCAGACTTGCGATAAGTAATTTAAAGTGTCTTTATAGGAGAGAAATGCATGCTGCTCTTTGGCTCTTTCTGTCCAACTTTTCTAGAAATGACTGAAGAGTCCATTCGGATTCATGAATGCTGTATAAATTTGCCATCTGAAGTGGCTTTGGGTCAGATAGAAAGTTCTTTTCCATGGCACTGCTTTCCACCTCCTTCTGTTATAGGGTGGACTCTTCGTCAAGAGCTTTGCCTCTGCTCCATTCCCCAGGTGTGAGTGAGGACAGTTTCTCATTGGAAATGTGGTCTGCATGGTATGGAGAGAGAATGGAGGAAGCTTTACTACTCTGTTCATGGCATGTCTCCAGGGATTTTTTTCTGGATTCGTCTCTACCATCTTAGAATGGGAGACAGAACCTGTCCTTGGCTCAGATGGCTGGGGTCAGATGAGGAAAATTCCCATTAGCCTAGGAAAGTGCTGGACAAAATCCAGTTTGGAAAATTACAAATCCAGTTGGTCAGAATTGGCTGTTTCCTCCTTGTGACCTATTCATGTCACGCCAACTGGCTGCTTCAACAGGGCAAGGAAGTGTGGGGTATTTTTAATGAAAGCCTTAGCCTGTTGGGCATCCTTGAAAAGAGATTTTCATGCGCTCCTACTTTCACCATTTCTGCGTTGTGTTGGTAGCACAATGGAGTTGAATACTGCAAAGCACCCAGTTTACAGTGAAATGTTTCCAGTGACCAGTGTCAAAAGTAGGTCTGCTTCTAGACTAGCCTCAGTTGTGGCCAACACCCACCATTCCCCATGGGATGGCTTGGGACAGATCTCACCTTGTTACGAGGTTCCAACAGGAAAGAGAATTTTTCCCCTGAAGGGAGGAATTCGCATGCTCTAAAAACTGCAAATGATTTCAGCTCACAGCTTTGGCAAGATTATAACTCATCAGTTGCAGCTTTTTTCTGTCCCTGTATGTGTGGGTAGAGTAGTTCATTTCCCTGTCACAGGAAGGGCAAGTTGATATGGTTGGTGCATAGTTCCAGCCATTAGAGGAAAGCGCCAGAATGCCGTGCACTCTCCATTGGGCACCAACCCCCACGAGGTGCCGCTAACGTGACCTCCACACCTGTGAATGCGGAGGGCTTTTAAAATGCCACCCTTTCACCAGGGTGGGGCTGGATATGGAGTGGTGAATATTCACTCTGCTCGCCATCTCCTTTCTTGGCTCGGTGTCCCACTGCAGCTCAGCCAGTGTCACCCAGAGTAGTAGTTCCTGCTACTCTTAGCAAGACAACCTGAATGCACCTGCTCCCCACACCTGGGTCCTCCTCCAGGACTCTGTGCTGCACTGTCATTATTGCCAATGGCCAGGGCTTAATTTACATCTTCAATTCTGATTAAAACACAGTTGTCTGTGGACAAGGTTAAATCTTCATCTGAACTTTTTAAAGAATGAGTTAAGGATCCCCTAATACTCTTGGCACAGGCTCACACCTTACACTGAGCCCCCCCTGGCCACATCTGTCTTTTGTTGGGAAGTTGTTGGGTGATCTTTTGTTAATCTGTAGACACGTGGGGACTTTGGTCTGCTCTTGGGCCACTGGGGGGTGACATGGCAGGTGTTGGTTTTTGTTTTGTTTTTTTTTACTTTGTCTTGCTGTGTCTAAGCAGCTCAAAGATCGGATGTTACTTGTATGCTGTGGGCTAAAAGAATGTAACTCAGCCCCAACTGAACTCCATGGGTGGCTGCATCATTATCTAGTTGCTAGGAGTACAGCTGAATTCAGGTGGCTTTAGAGACAGGGAATAAAACCAGCCTGACTTGATTCCTGATTAAGTAGGCATAAGACATTGTCATCTGCCGCTTCTCTCTGCCACAGTGTGATGTGGTTGGGCCTGTCCCTGGCAGGTGAGGTCCTCGTAGCCTGTGCCCACCAAGGCAGGGAGCTGGACTAGACAGAAAAGGCCAGATGCGAGTAGATGGCCCACGGGGAAGTCTAAGCTGAGGAATACAGGGAACATTCCATCATTGCCAGATAGCCTGTTCTTAACACATCTTGACAAAATTAAGATCCTTTGCCCCAGTGCCAAGTCCCTTGGACCCATTAGAGGACCAATTTGTACCTTTCCACAGCCCCACTCCAAAGCCTGCCACCTCTGTGGCCTGGTCTTGCTCTGCTAAGCTATTCTGAACTGTAGTAGTTTTTCTGAAAGGCTTTCTGAGAATTATGAAATGAACACAGAGAGGCTCTGGACAGAAAAAGTGCTGAGTGAGTTTAATCATCCCTTGCCATTCACCAGCCATGTGTCTTTATGCAAGATAGCCTCCCGAAGCTGATTTCCTTCTCTGCCCTCTAAGAATTGTAGTGACATTTTTGCTGGCTCTCATGAGGACCACACATGTCCAAAGCCTGGTGGGCAGTAGGCCTGGGGTTGTGGAAGTTCCTAATTATAGGCAGGATCATGCCAGTCACATAGGGCTCCTCTGTAGCTCAAGTAGCAACAAAACCTCAGCAAGGGCCTCCTGAGATACAGGAGGTCCCTTGGGGTAGGGCCTGCGTTTACCTGGGTCCCTTCCTTTTCCTCTCCTGATCTTGCTAGTCACCTCCATCTGTCTTTGCCCATGGTGCTCCTTGGCAGCTATTCCATAAATTTTTGAATAGGTAATCCCTTCATATAATTCGCAAATCACGAGTCTTCCTTGCATCCCTGACCTAGCGAGCCCAACTTATTGCCCCTTGAACACCCGCTGTGTTCCACTATGTTCCATGTAGATCCTTCCAGTGACCATTTGCACATAAACAGGGATTACACACGTGTATATATAACTCTTCTCTTTTACTCATGTGATACCAGACCAGTATATCCAAGGAGCATTCCTATTCATGGGGGAAGAGCCATCTCAGAAGTCCGAATATCTGTACAAGGTGAGCCCATAATTGGAGGATGTCTTTGCAATCACATTCCCTTTTGAATAAGGCATTTTTTATTGATTGCAGCATACTAAAATTCTAGTTTTCCATACAAAGCAGAAATAGCAATCCCTCCCTGACCCTTACCACACACTCAGATAATATGAGAGCACCACCAGTTTCCAGACTGCACAAGGACAGTCTGGTCTGTGACAGGACACCCAACAGCAGGCTCTGCTGTGTTGCTGAGAACAGCAATGCAGGCCTCTCGTCCAGGTCCAACAGCCTTTACACCCTCCTGGTCCCCATCCAACCCCATCCGATGGGGTGACGTCTGGCTACAACTGTCATTTCTTAGGCGAGTTCTTGTGTTTCTGAGGCAGGAGTCTGATAAGCAGCAACTGAAGCCTGAGGCATCCTTCTGTTTGGGGGACAGATGTCTCAGATGACGCTAAGCAGGTAGGTGGCCAGTCTCCTCAAGACTAACCATAGATACACACACTTCAGTGTCCGTCTTCAAGGTCCTGGCTCTGCTCCCTTTCCCTCCCCACTCTTTATGCACACATTAAAAAGAAAATGCTTGCCACAGAATTTTCTCCATTCGACAACAGAAATCTTTTAAGAAAAAAATGTCTTACAAAGCTGCTTCTTCCAGGCAGCCCTAGGGGGAGGGGCATGGACTCCTACATTGGTTCTCACCCCCCTCCCTGGCTTCCTGCCTCCCAGAGCAGCAGCCCAGCGCTTTCCTTGGATTAAAAGTGCAATTTAGGCCCCTAACCTGAAACTTGAAAGGAATTGTATGTGAAATGCCACCCTTCTGTCACCTGAGTATCTGGCCCTGGGTTAGAATGTCTTTCACATCAGCTATTACGAGTTTCTTAAGTAAAAGAGATGAATGTGTCTAAATTCACAATGTCTAAATTCTGGTGAAATCTGCAGTTGTTAACCGGAAGTGGTTCTTTAGTAGATAATATTAATGAAAGATCCCCCATGCCACGGACTGTGCTTCCACTTGAGTGGGAATATCACAAGAAAAATAGAGGGGCTTGTTCAGTAAGTTTGTCTTTGTCCGATTCAGCTTTAGAGCCCAACTTTGCAAAATGCTAATAGTTTGGTTCCACTTTCAGACTGAGCATTGCACCCTTGCTTACCAATCCAGTGCTCACTTCTGTGGCTCTCAGGTCAGAGAGAACACCCTCCCTGCTCCAGGGACATGGACCTAGAATGTGGTCCCCGCCAATGTCAAGGGACCGGTCTGTACTTGGTGAAGCTCCTCTCAGCTCCCTGTGCCTGCATCTAGGGCCAGCTGCACACTGTCCCTCCCAGGCCGTGCTACAGCAGGTGGGTAGGTGGGGCCGGTGTTAGGGAAGCTCCTCCTGGAGAGAGCCTGGTCTTCTAAGAGTGTTCCTCATAACTGTCATCTCTGGGTTTCTTGACATCATTGCCAGGAAGGAGGGGGGTAGTTTAGTCCTGTAGTTTAGCCCACTGGGGTTTACTCACTAGATCTTGTATAACTCCCTCAAAAAAAAAAAAAAAAAAAAGTTTATGAAACTCTGAGCCTCAGGTTTCATAGACGTGTTTGTACACTAAGAATTCTGCAGCAGAATATTTTTAAACATCCGCAGTTTTTTTGTAAGCTATATTTTTGTATATTTAATTGCTATTTTAAAATTTTAATGCATTTTTGGCTAATTACTCCTGTTTTAAAAACAAAACATGCATGTAATTGACTTAAATGTAAATAAAAAGCAGGTTTTGAAAATACTTTGTGCCGAGCATGTACCCTTCAACTCAGAGGGGCCTGAGATCACCTACACCCCTCTTGAGCCTGTGTAGCAATGGAAAGTCAAGGTAAGTGGCTGTGATCAAAATGAGCTGGTCACCAGCAACATGTGATTGTGATGAAGGAGCTTCGGGCCTGCACCCCCATGGGATGGGGAGCAGGTCCGAGGTGAGGAGCAGAGCACCAGGCCACAGCGAGGGAGGAGGTGGCCGAGATCCCACCTGCCCCCCTGGCCTCAGCCCTGCAGATGCCACGGGACACACCAGCTGTCTCACAAACGCGGGAGCTAGCGCCCAGGGGGGTTTAAGTGGTGGAACTAGCCCACCCCGCCCCCCACCTCTCTAGCTGCATCTCAGGCTTGGAAATACCAACTATTCTGTCAGGAGGGAAAAAACACACCTAGACTCCAAAGTCCCCCTGTGGTGACTGCTGTTTCTCCTCACCGCCACTCACGAGAAGCCCTGCAGGTCAGCTTTGGCTCCGCAGCTTGGGGGAAACTGGCCCCCTCAAGGCCATCTGTGACCCTGCAACAAATCTGGACCACTTCTTAAACCTCCTCTGAATGCAGGTGCCTGAAGAGCTCCTCTCCCTCAGCCCCTTCTCAGACCATGCTCTGCAGCCTTTTCCTTCTCTTTCCATCTAGTTATTCTCCCTCTACCTTCATATTCACTAAATTCCCACCTAGATAGACATCATTTGCAGGTCTGTAATCTCCAACCCAAATATTCAGCTGCCTTTTTGGTATCAAGACCTGGCAATCCAAAACCAAGCCTTCCCAACAAGCCTGGGTGCCTCACTGGGACTCCCTGCCCACTATCCAGTCACCGCATCCCAGCCCTCTAAGCCTTCGTCTACTGCTCCAATCTTGGCTTAGGCCACCTTCCTTTCCCACCTGGGTCCTAACCACGGCCACCCCACACGTGCACATACTGCCTCCAGTGGAGGGCGGGGTGTGGGGGGGGGGGCCTCGCCAACTCACGGAGGGCAGACTGGAAGGGACGCTGCTGAGACGGCAGTAGCTTACACCAGGGGCTGGCAGTGGTGCCAGGGGGTGGGAGTTTACATGCATCTCACAAGCCAGAGGTAGCAAAGTGGCAGTAAACTGGGATCAGGCTCGGAAGAGAATGTGAGCAGCTCCCGTGCAGAGATGGCCTTGGGGACACACAGTGCTAAGAGGGGAAGGCAGTCCTTGTCGGGGGGGCTATAAAGGCAAGGGCTGTGAGGGGCCGCTACCTTGGAAATCAATGTCCAGGGCTGATGACTGCTTAGGGAAGTCCAGAATTGCGCCCAGGGGGCTGGCAAGATCTGTCCTCAGAGGAGAAGTGGCTGGCACGGGCAGAAGTGGCCTGGGAGGCAGAAGGAAAGGAAGAGGGGTCTGCTGTGTTAGAACGGAAGAAGAGGACGTGAAATGTCCGTTAGACTTAGTAACAACCCACTGGTGACTGATCAGGCACCCTCCCAGGCAGTGACACTTTGGGCTGGGCACAAAGTACAGAGAAGTCACAGAGGCAGCCTTTCAAGAGCAGGAAGTGGCAAGGATGCAGAACACGGAAGGTGAACGCTATGCAGGAGGGGGCTCTGCCCAGGTCTAGCTGTGTGACCTCAGGCAGGTTTGTTCCCATTAAACTGCAGGGAGAACAAAGGTTGTATGAGGCCAGCCATGTAAGCACTGGTCACAGCCTCATGAGCACAGTACGTGTGGGGAGAGCAGGGAACCCCAGCACAGGCGCCTGGGTCTCCACCAGGGAAGCAGGCTCCCTCCCTCCCCCGCCTCCTCTGGAGAAGAGCAAGCGGGGAGGAGGGTCTGGGGCACAGGGGCTCCCAGGAGCACAACTGCGTATCAGCAGGTGGGTAGGGACATGGTCTTTGATGGCTGTAGGGAAGGAGGGGCCACCAAGCACAGACGAGATTAGAGGGGACGCGGACTGAGGCCCGCAAGGGCCAGCAGCAGCAGAAGAGAGGCTGACTGGCTCCCGGGAGCCACAAGTCCCATTCCCACAGCTTTCCTCCAGTTCTGGCCTGCACCAGGCTGACAGTACCCACAACCTGCTGGTGCCCAGCTGCATTGAGAGGCGCCCTTGAGAAATGGCCACTCCCTGCCCTGCAAGCAACTGCCCTTGGTCCCAGAGCTGGCACATGCCTCTGCTGCCCCCACGCGGCCAACACAAAAGGGTGCCAAGGGATCCGACCGACCCTCCTCCCTTGGTGACCCAGCCCTGCACTCTTCCAACCTAGGTCCCTGCCAGGCGCAAGGAGGCTGCAGAGCCTTGAGGTCACCTTCTAGTTCAAAGGCTGCTTTATACAGACCTTTCATGGCCTTCAACAGCAATGCAGGCACAAAAATACACAAGATAAGACTCAAAACAATATTCTATCTCCAAGGGGAAGGGTTTTTTAAATTATTCTGCACAGCAGAAAGAAAACGCTCTAAGTCAATCTCTACCGAGACTCCATCTTAAATCTCTATTTACCAAGACTCCTCAAGCTGCCTTTTGAGCCTCGCACATGCAGCCCTCATGCTCAGTCCTACCCCAAGCTCAGAGCCAGCCTTGCCAGCTTCCGGCAAGTAAAAACCTTGAGTGGGAGAGGAAGGCAAAAGTTCCCTACCCTGCCCCTAGGAGTTAATCAATGGACTTCAATTCCTCACTTTCTACCAGCCAGAAACAATCAGATTCTCCCCGATTCCCTGAAAATGTCGATTCGAGAAGTCTGGTTTTAGTCTTCCAGGTGCACTTTTTCTACTAGCTTAACTCCGCTTAACTCCCTACCTCCCACCCCCCCACGGCCCTCCAAGGGCATTCTTCCCGGGGTGGACTAAGTCCCATCTTTCCAGACACACCTTCCCAGGATCTGCAGTGTAGGGTAACCTGGAACTGCCCTTCCCCAAAGTTGCTCAATTGCCAAAATTACAAGTACAGAATTACTCTAAGTTTGCAGAACCTTAAATAAAACATGTTTTTCAATATGTTCACACAGAGGCTAAATGAACACCAGAGTTAATTCACAGATAATGATCTCCAAGGCTATACTGACTACATTGTGATGAGATTACAACATATAGTACTTGCCTTACATTTAGCACGTTCAACAGGACACAAAACCAGCCAGCTGAACACTGAACAGCTCTCCCCTGAAGTGGCTCCCAGTAAGTGACACGGGGAATTTCAAAAACACATGGCAGGTTTAACAAAGCTATACTGAAAAGCAACGTAACTACAGCAAATCCTCACTGCCGTGGACATGTCCACTTTTTTTTATATGTATCTTTCCTTAGTGGTTACTAGTTTCGACTAAATTTTTAAGGATTTATCTTGATGACTTAGAAAAATACACTCATCCTTCCTTGCTTTGATTTGGGTAGTACACCATCATAAAATTGAGTCTCTTAAAAAACAAAAGTTCACAGATCCCATTGTGCAATGTTCCAGGAACCCTCCCCAGGTGATCAGGGGATCTTCAACAGCTCAAGGAGTGCTCCAACGGCTCCAAAATAACCCTGAAAAAAAAGTACACCACAAATGAGAGCAATTTTCCTTAGACTTATTTAAATTACGATAAATATGATTACTAGTGTTAAAGCCAACAGTGCCCTTAATTCCCGATACTGAGCACCTATTTTGCTGAGCTCCAAGGAGCTCCCAGGCTGAGGAGGAGGGCTGGATGTATAAAACACCCGGGCACGCCAGCATGTGAGACCAAAACCCACAGTGAGGGCTGCAGGAGCTATGAAGCCCATGGCAGCTCAGTTCCCTCTGGAAAGAGCCCGTACCTGGGCTGCCTCCTGCAGAAGGAGGACGTGAGAAGCAGCAGAGGCCCGGAGCATTTCCAGACAACTAAGGAATGAAGGGAAGATGGGACCTGAAGATTGATGGGGCAGGAAGAGCTGGGGGGGTG